GAGGTACTACCAGATTCCTGATATAGATGTCCTAATTCCCCCTAAATTGCTCAGTCATTTGAATACATTTGATGAATGATAAACTCACATGTTTATGTATATTAATTTAAAAGTTAAGTCTGAGGTTTTTGTTGACATAAGAAACTTGAAAATCAGAAGTGTACAGGTGCTATTCCTCCTAAGACTTGGAAGGCCTCACACCCTACAAAGGACACTTCCTTTACCTATGATCTGATCCATTAATATTAACAAGTCCTCAGAGATTGGGAGAGCACAGACCAATTTGGCTAATTAGGAGCTCTGTACATTGAGCTTTCAAGCCCACACAACTATAAATAATTGGCCTGTGCCCTGCAGACTTACAGTTGGCCGGTCCCAGCACAGTTGGATCTGTATGTGTGTCTTCTCATCCCAGAATCATTATATGCATCAAGGGGTCCATACCTGACTCTCTTTTCCTGCCGGTCCTGAGAACAGAGCCTGAGCCTTCATCACTCACCAGGCATAAGAAGGGTGATGGATCGTCATTCCTTTGTTATTTCCCAGCACAGAGGCAGCACAGTGCAGTGAGTGATGTTGGGGACACCTGATACAGGAATGATGTGGGGAGTGTTGTTTCTTCATCATCAGGATAAGCAGGATAGTTGGAGAAGCCAGATGGAAGGGCACCGATATGCAGTTTCAGCTCAGAGGCTGTGAGGTTTAAGTTATTGGTTCTGGTGGGAATCTGAGAATTCTCATTCAAAGTTCTGCTTTCCTCCCATACTGGTTCTAGCGCCTGTAGAAACCTTTCTAAATATTTCTTTTTTTAAAAAAATTTTTTTAAAAATTTAAGAGAGCGAGCGCGAGAGAGGAGCACACCAGCAGGGGAGGAGCAGAGAGAGAGAGGGAGACAAAGAATCCAAAGCAGGCTCAAGGCTCTGAGCTGTCAGCACAGAGCCCAACGCAAGGCTCAGATTAACAAACTGCAAGATTATGACCTGAGCCAAAGTCAGATGCCCAACCAACGGAGCCACACAGGCGCCTCTCCTGTAGGAAACTTTCTAACCAGAGCAGGAAACAAGTCCCTCTAAACTGTCTCTTATACCAGGCTCTGAAATAGGCGCTTACGTAGCCTGTTTCTTTTCACATACATAGTTACCCCTAAAAGATGTGTATACATTATTGTTATTTAAAAATTTTTTTAAAATGTTTTATTTATTTCTAGGAGAGAGAGAGAGAGACAGCGTGAGCAGGGGAGGGTCAGAGAGAGAGGGAGTCACAGACTGAAACAGGCTCCAGGCTCTGAGCTGGCAGTCAGCACAGAGCCCGATGCGGGGCTCGAACCCACGAACTGTGAGATCATGACCTAAGCGAAAGTCGGACGCTTAACCGACTAAGCCACCCAGGCGCCCCACATTATTGTTATTTTAAAGGTGAGGAGAGGATTTATATAGTCTTTTAATGTAACTTGTACCAGATCATGGGATAGGATGGGGTTAAGCCAGGTTTGAATCAAATAGTCTGTCTCCACAGACACAGTGCCCCCTGGCCAGTATTCTCTCCTTGCCAGTGCAACCAACCTTTCACTTCTCTGGTCATTCCACCCATACACTCTCTGCTCACTGTGATCTTCTGTTTGGAGGTAACTGGTAAACCACAGTGGTGAGCCGCAGGTGCATCAACTATAGGGAGAGTAGCTGAGATCGCCGGCACAGATCACAGGAAGAGCCGGCTCATGACAGTTTATGGTAGATCTTTCTCTGGCCCTGGCTCCTAGACTTCGCCTCAGTTGTCCACTTCCTCCTCCATTCCTTTCTTTTCTTTTCTTTTTCTTTTCTTTCTGTGGATCCCTGCTTTAAAATTTCTGAATTTTAACAGAGTAAAGAAGTTAAATTTATGTGCCTCAGACCATAATATAATTTTTTAAAACACTGATTGCTAGAAATCTGCATTTCTTTTTTTTTTTTTAAAGTTTATTTATTGTTGAGAGAGAGAGAACAACCAGGGAAGGGGCAGAGAAAGAGGGAGACAGAGGATCTGAAGCAGGCTCTGCATTGACAGCAGAGAGACCAATGTGGGGCTTGAACTCATGAACCTCGAGATCATGACCTGAGCTGAAGTCAGACACTGAATGGACTGAGCCACCCAGATTCCCCATCCATAATATAATATTAAGTCCTACGTTATCTACTTATTGTCTAGATCTGGAGCAAGTCCTTAGTATCTCTGAGCCTCAGAGTTGTCATCTGAATTGATTCTTAGTTGATACTACTCCACTGAGTAAGGACTAAATAGATAATGAATACTAACAATGTGGTTAAATATGTGATGGATGCTTACAATAAGTGCAAAAGATTTAGATATTATTGATAATGTTGATTAATATTGTTAATACCAAGTTTTATACCATTCAACCTAAATATCTTGTGATCTGATTGTTTGGTTGTCAAGTTCATTTTTGCTCTTGTTTCCTTTGTCTCTGGAGGCATGTTGAGTACGAAGTTACTGTGGCTGAGGTCAAAGAGGTTTTTGCCTGCTTTCTCTAGGATTAAGATGGTTTCCTGTATACGTTAGGTCTTTCATCCGTTTTGAGTTTATTTTTGTGTATAGGGTATGAGTGGTCGGTTTATTTTTCTGCAGGTTGCTGTCCAGTTTTCCCAACACCATTTGCTGAAGAGACTGACTTTAATCCATTGGATATTCTTTCCTGCTTTGTCAAAGATTAGTTGGCCATACGTTGGTGGGTCCATTTCTGGGTTCTCTGTTTTGTTCCCTTGATCTGAGTATCTGTTTTTGTGCCAGTATCATACTGTCTTGATGATTCAGCTTTGTAATACATCTTGAAGTCTAGGATTGTGATGCCTCCAGCTTTGTTTTTCTTTTTCAGGATTGCTTTGGCTATTCAGAGTCTTTTCTGGTTCCATACAAATTTTAGGATTGTTTGTCCTAGCTCTGTGAAGAATGTTGGTGTCATTTTGATAGGGGTTGCATTGAATATGTAGATTGCTTTGGGTAGTATTGACATTTTAAGAATATTTGTTCTGCCTATCCAGGAGCATAGAATATTTTTCCATTTTTGTGAGTCTTCTTCAATTTCTTACATAAGCTTTCTATAGTTTTAAGTGTATAGGTTTTTCACCTCTTTGGTTAGATTTATTCCTAGGTATTTTATGGTTTTTGGTGCAAGTGTAAATGAGACCGATTCCTTGATTTCTCTTTCTGTTGCTTCATTATTGGTGTTTAGAAATGCAACCAATTTATGTGCATTGGTTTTATATTCTGTGACTTTGCTGAATTCATGGATCAGTTCTAGCATGTTTTTGGTGGAATCTTTTGGGTTTTCCATATAGAGAATCATGTCATCTGTGAAGAGTGAAAGTCTGACTTCCTCCTTGCCAATTTGTATGCCTTTTATTTATTTGTACTGTCTTATAGCTGAGACTAAGACTTCCAATACTATGTTGAATAACAGTGGCAAAAGTGGACATCCCTGTCATGTTCCTGACCTTAGAGGGTAAGTTCTCAGTTTTTCCCCATTGAGGATGATATTAGCAATGGGTCTTTCATATATGGTTTTTATGATCTTAAGGTATGATCCTTGTACCCTACTTTCTTGAGGGTTTTTATCAAGAAAGGATAATGCATTTGGTCAGATGCTTTCTCTGCATCTATTGAGAGAATCATATGGTTCTTGTCCTTTCTTTTATTGATGTGATGTATCACATTGATTATTTTACAGCTATCAAACCAGCGCTACATCCTAGGTATAATCCCACTTGGTCTGTGAATAATTCTTTGAATGTATTGTTGGATCTGGTTGGCTATTATCTTGTTGAGGATTTTTGCATCCATGTTCATCAGGGAAATTGATCTGTAGTTCTCCTTTTCAGTGGGATCTTTGTCTGGTTTTGGAATCAAGGTAATGCTGGCTTCATAGAAAGAGTTTGGAAGTTTTCCTTCCATTTCTATTTTTGGAACAGCTTCAAAAGAATAGGTGGTAACTCTTCTTTAAATGCTTGGTAGAATTGCCCTGGAAAGCCATCTGACCCTGGATTTTTGTTTTTTGGGAATTTTTTTATTATTAATTTGATTTCTTTACTGGTTATGGGTCTGTTCAAATTTTCTATTTATTCCTGTTTCAGTTTTGGTAGTTTATATGTTTCCAGGAATTTTTCCATTTTTTCTAGATTGCCCGTGTTACTGGCATATAATTGCTCATAATATTCTCTTATAATTGCTTTTATTTCTGCTGTGTTGGTTGTGATCTCTCCCCTTTCATTCTTGATTTTATTTATTTGGGTCCTTTCCTTTTTACTTTATGATCAAAATGGCTAGGGGTTTATCAACTTTGTTAATTCAAAGAAGCAGTTTCTGTTTTCATTGGTTTATTGTACTGTTTTCTGTTTTTGATAGCATTGATTTCTGCTCTAATCTTTATTATTTCCTGCTTTTGGCTGGTTTTGGGTTTTATTTGCTATTCTTTTTCCAGTTCTTTGAGGTGTAAGGTTAGGTTGTGTATCTGAGACCTTTATTCCTTCTTTAGGAAGGTCTGGATTGATATATACTTCCCTCTTTTTAAAATTTTTTTTAAAAAATATTTAATCTTGAAAGAGAGAGAGAGAGAGAAAGCAGGAGTGGGGGAGGGGCAGAGAGAGAGGGAGACACGGAATCGGAAGCAGGCTCCAGGCTCTGAGCTGTCAGGACAGAGTCTGATGTGGGGCTCAAACCCACAAACTGTGAGATCATGACCTGAGCTGAAGTCGGCCGCTTAACCAGCTGAGCCACCCAGGTGCCTCTATATACTTTCCTCTTATGACCCCCTTTGCTGTGTCCCAGAGGTTTTGGGCTGTGGTGTTATCATTTTCATTGGCCTCCATGCACTTTTTAACTTCCACTTTAACTTCTTGGTTAGCCCATTCATTGTTTACTAGGATGTTCTTTAGTCTACAAGTATTTGTTATCTTTCCAATTTTTTCATGTGGTTGATTGTGAGTTTCATAATATTGTGGTCTGAAAATATGCACGGTATGATCTTGGTTTTTTTTTTTGTTGTTGTTGTTGCTTGTTGAGGGCTGATTTGCATCCCAGTGTATGATCTATTTTGGAGAATGTTCCATGTGCACTCGAGGAAAATATGTATTCTGCTGCTTTGGGATGAAATGTTCTGAATATATCTGTTAAGTCCATCTGGTCCAGTGTGTCATTCAAAGCCATTGTTTCCTTAGTGATTTTCTGTTTAGATATTTGTCCATTGCTGTGAGTGGGGTGTTGACGTCTCCTACTATTAAGGCATTATTATCAATGAGTTTCTTTATGTTTGTAATTAATTGATTTATATATTTGGCTGCTTTCACATTGGGGTTATAGATGTTTACAATCGTTAGTTCCTCTTGGTGGATAAATCCCTTAATTATGATATAATGCCTTCTTCATCCTTTGTTACAGTCTTTATTTTAAAGTCTAGATTGTCTGATATAAGTATGGCTACCCTGGCTTTCTTTTGTCGACTATTAGCATGATAGATGGTTCTCCACTGCCTGTCTATCTGAAAGTGTTTTTAGGTCTCAAGTGGGTCTTTTATAAACAGCATATAGATGGATCTTGTTTTCTTATCTATTCTGTTACATGATGTCTATTGATTGGAGCATTTAGACCATTGATGTTTAGAGTGAGTACTGAAAGATATGAATTTATTGCCATTGTGTTGCCTGTAGAGTTGGAGTTTCTGGTGGTATTCTCTGGTCCTTTCTCATCTTTTTTGCTTTTGGAGTTTTGTTTTGTTTTCTGTTTTTTTCCTCACCTTAGAAAAATTTCTCGCAGGGCTAGTTTAGTGGTCACAAACTCCTTTAGTTTTTGTTTGCCTGGGTAACTTTTAATCTCTCCTATTTTGAATGACAGCCTTTCTGGATAAAGAATTCTTGGCTTCATAATCTTCTGATTCAGTACATTGAATATGTCCTGGAACTGCTTTCTGGCTTGCCAAGTTTCTGTGGATAGGTCTGCTGCAAACCTGATCTGTCTTCCTTGTAGGTTAAGGACTTTTTTCCCCTTGCTGCTTCATGAATTCTTTCCTTGTCTGTGTATTTTGTGAATTTGACTATGATATGCGCATTGATGGCCAATTTTTGTTGAATATAAAGGGAGTTCTCTGTGCTTCCTGAATTTTGATGTCTGTGTCTTTCCCCAGGTTAGGAAGGTTTTCTGCTATGATTTGCTCACATAAACCTTTTACTCCTTTTCCTCTCTTCATCTTCTGGGACCCCTATGATTCTGATGTTATTCTTTTTTAATGAGTCACTGGGTTCTCTAATTCTTATTCGTGCTCTTTTTGCCTTGGTTTCCCTCTTTTTTTCTACTTCATTATTCTCCATAAGTTTTTCCTCTATGTCACTGATTTGCTGCTCTGCTTCATGCATCTTTGCTGCTGTGGCATCTATTGGAGATTGCAGCTCAGTTATAGCATTTTAATTTCATCCTGACTAGCTTTTACTTCTTTTCTATCCACAGAAAGGGATTCTAATCTATTTTCAACCCCAGCTAGAGTCCTTAAGATCATGGTTCTAAATTCTTGTTCAGACATCTAGCTTGTATCTATGTTGAATAAGTTTCTGGCTGTCATTTCTTCCTGTTCATTCTTTTGGGGTGAATTCCTTTGTTTTGTCATTTTGGAGGAAGAAAAATAATAAATTAAAAAATTAAAATTAGGGGTGTCTGGGTGGCTCAGTTGGTTGAGTGTCTGACTTTGGCTCAAGTCATGATCTCATGGTTCATGGGTTCAGGCCCCGTGTTGGGCTCTGTGCTGACAGCCCGCTCAGAGCCTGGAGCCTGTTTCAGATTCTGTATCTCCCTCTCTCTGACCCTTCCTTGCTCATGCTCTCTCTCTCTCTCAAAAATAAATAAAACATTAATTTTTTTAAATTAAAAAAATTAAAATTTAAAAAAGCCCAAAAAAATTAAATAGAGGTTGCCAGATTATGGGTGTTTTGGGTCTGGTTGTTGAAAGAAGGTTGATAGAATAGAGGAAAAAGGGAAGGAAAATAAAAGAAAAAAACAAAGGAAAATGTTTGAAAATTTTAAAAAATTAATACAATAAAATAGAATAAAATAAAATATGAAAGCAAAATAGAGTAAAAATTTACCAAAAAAAGTAAAAAATATTTTAAAAATTTAAAAAGCAGCCTTCTACATTTTAGGATTAGAAATACATGTAAGCACTTTAACTAGTATAAACCACTACAAAATGGAGACCAAAACAAAACAAAAAACAAAGAACAGTGTCAGACACCAGTGTCAATTTCCTTGAGATTATGTAGTATTTATATATAATCCTGCATAAGATGAGTTGGATGACAGTGTTTTTTAAAAGTTACCTATTTAATGACTGAGGTCTGTATTGTTCAAGAATGTCATCTATAGGGTCATTGATGATGTATGATTTTGTGCATTTATCCAAAATATGCTTATCAAAATTGGAAATCTACAGCTAAGAGTTGTATTTGAAAAGACGTTAACATTTGTTTGTTTGTTTGTTCATTTATTTAGAAGGAGAAAATTCCAAGCAGGCTTTGTGCTGTCAGCATAGAGCCCAACACGGGGCTTGAACCCCTGAACCATGAGTTCATGACCTGAGCTGAAATCAGGAGTTGGATGCTTAACTGACTGAGCTATGAGGTGCCACCTATATTTGAAAAGACTTTAAAAAGAAAACCCACATATTTGAGTGAACGCATATTTCCATTGAGGAGAGAAGTCAGAAAACCAGAAAGTGAGGATAACCCATGAAGAAAATTAATATACTCTGGGGGCGCCTGGGTGGCCCAGTTGGTTACTCAGGTCATGACCTCATGGTTTGTGGGTTTGGGCCCCGTGTCGGGCTCTGTGCTGATAGCCAGTTCAGAGCCTGGAGCCTGTTTCAGATTCTGTATCTCCCTCTCTCTCTGCCCCTCCTCTGCTCATGCTGTCTCTCTCTCTCTCTCAGAAATAAATAAAAAAACATTAAAAAATTAATACACTCTGAAAAGCTTTCTGGTTATAAATATTTGACTTTAATTTAGAATGTCAAAATGTAGTTCTAGTAATTAAACACAGTTTATCAATATTCTAAAGAGAATTTCTTGCACTGATTTGAATAGGTTGCTTCTAAGTGTTCTTTAATTAGAATATTTTTTTTCCTTAGAGAAGAATGCTTCTTATTCAATATGTTTCTTTAAAAGAGTATTTTATGGTGATTATGGATTTATCATTTTTCTATAAGTGTTCTTGATCCTCTAACATTTTTCAGCTGAGTATCTTTATAGTGTGTATAGAAAGAGGTGAGGGTGCCCGGATGGCTCAGTTGTTTGAGCAGCTGACTTGATTTCTGCTCAGATCATGGTCTCAGGGTCGTGAGATGGAGCCCTGGATTCTCAATCCCCCTCCCTCTGCCCCTCTCCTCCACTCGCTCTCTCTAAAATTAAAAAAGGAGGGGGGAATAACAGAGAAACGAATGAGGAAACAGTTCTAAGACAATTGGATTTGAGACACAGAAATATTGCTGAAGGTACTGGAGTGTATGATCCTAAGTGTGATTATTTTCCTTGTGAATTGTTTGAATATACAATATGGACACAGTGCTGAGTGCCCATTGACTTGTTTCCTTTCTCCAACCCTCTTTTCCTTTTCAAAAGATGTCCAAGCTACATAGAACCACAAAATCTAACAAGGGTTTCAGAATTCATCCTCACGGGACTCTCAGGTGATCTAGAACTGCAGCCCCTTCTCTTTGGGCTGTTCCTGTCCACGTACCTGGTCAGTGTGCTCGGGAACCTGCTCATCATCCTGGCCGTCAGCTCTGACCCTCACCTCCACACCCCCATGTACTTCTTCCTCTCCAACCTGTCCTTGGCTGACATCGGTTTCACCTCTACTACCATCCCCAAGATGATCGTGGACATCCAAACTCAGAGCAGAGGCATCTCCTATGTGGGCTGCCTGACTCAGATGTCTTTTTTTATGCTTTTTGGATGTTTGGATAGTCTCCTCCTGGCTGTGATGGCATATGACAGGTTTGTGGCCATCTGCCACCCCCTGTGCTACTTGGTCATCATGAACCCTCGCCTCTGTGGCTTGTTGGTTTTGGCATCACTTTTCATCAGCGTTTTGGTCTCTCAGATGCACAATTCGATCGTGTTACAACTTACCTACTTCAAGGATGTGGAAATTTCTCATTTCTTCTGTGACCCGTCTCAGCTCCTCAACCTTGCCTGTTCTGACACTTTCTCCAATAACGTAGTCATGTATTCTGTTGGTGCCATCTCTGGGTTCCTCCCCATCTCAGGGATCTTTTTCTCTTACTATAAAATTGTTTCTTCCATTCTGAGAGTCCCATCAACAGGCGGGAAGTACAAAGCGTTCTCCACCTGTAGCTCTCACCTGTCAGTTGTTTGCTTATTTTATGGAACAGGACTCGGGGTGTATCTCAGTTCAGCTGTGTCAACATCTCCCAGGAATGGTGCAGTGGCCTCAGTGGTGTATACTGTGGTCACCCCCATGCTCAACCCTTTCATTTACAGTCTGAGGAACAGGGAAATCCATAGGGCCATGCAGAGGCTCTTCAGGAAAATAATCTAATCTCAGTGCTGTGCTGTCCATTTGGAGTGTAGGTAGGACAATGCAGCAAAACTCACCTAGACCTGCAAACCTACCTCTATCACTACATCATTTTTTAGCTGTCATGGTTTTCACCCACTCTTTGCTGAACATTTCCATATTGCTTTTTTTCATATGTTTTCAGTGGGACAAAGGAAGTATTCTGGGGTCTTTTGTATATAATAATCATTGCATGATTGAATCCTATTATATCTGTGGAGACTCTGTGCTTTATCACTGGTGATCCAAGCATCCTAGAAAGATGAACGTTTCTCTTTTTATACATTTAAATCACATTTCCCCCATAGTTCTTGTGTATTTTCCATACAAATTTCTCATTTATCCAATCAGTTTATGCAGGTTACGTCGTAGGATTCACGTCACTGATTATCAAACTTGGTATTCATTCATTGATTTTTTCTTTCTTTCATTTATATTCAAGTATAATTAACACACAGTGTTATATTAGTTTCAGGTGTACATTATAATGATTCAACAATTCATACATTACTCAGTGCTCATTGTGATAAGTGTACTCTTTTTTTTTAATGTTTTTTATTTATTTCTAGGAGAGAGAGAGAGAAAGAGAGAGAGAGACAGCGTGAGCAGGGGAGGGTCAGAGAGAGAGGGAGTCATAGACTGAAACAGGCTCCAGTATCTGAGCTGGCAGTCAGCACAGAGCCCGACGTGGGGCTTGAACCCATGAACCGCGAGATCATGACCTAAGTGAAAGTCGGATGCTTAACCGACTAAGCCACCCAGGCGCCCCGTGATAAGTGTACTCTTAATCCCCTTTATATATTTCACTCATCCTCTCACCCACCCCTCCTCTGGCAATCACCAGTCTGTTTTCTGTATTTAGAAGTCTGTTTTCTTGTTCATGTTTTTGTTTGTTTTTTTTTTGTTCATTTGTTTTGTTTCTTAAATTCTATATATGGATGAAATCATATGGTTTTTGTTTTTCTCTGACTGACTTAATTCACTTAACATTAAGTCCCGTAGGTCCATCCATGTGGTTGGAAACAGCAAGATTTCATTGCCTTTTTATGGCTGAATAATATTCCATTGTATATAAATACACCACATCTTCTTTATCCATTCATCTGTTTATGGACACTTGAGTTGCTTCCACATCTTGGTTATTTCAAATAATACTGCAACAAATAGAAGGTGCAAATATCTTTTTAAAAATTAACTTAAATTCAAGCTAGTCAACATATAGTGAAATATTGGTTTCAGGAGTAGAATTTAGTGATTCATTACTTACATATAACACCCAGTGCTCATCCCAACAAGTGCCCTCCTTAATGCCCATCACCCATCTAGTCCATCCTCCCTGCCCCACTTTCCCTCAAGCAACTCTCAGTTTATTCTCTGGATTTAAGAATCTCTTATGGTTTGCCCCCCTCTCTGTTTTTATCTTATTTTATTTTTCATTCCCTTCCCCTATGTTAGTCTCTTTTGTTTCTTAAATTCCACACATGAGTGAAATCATATGATATTTGTCTCTCTCTGACTTTTTGCTTTAACATAATACACTCTATTTCAACCCACATTGTTGCAAATGGCAAGATTTCATTCTAATTGATCGCCAAGCAATTTTCTATTGTTTATATATACCATACCTTCTTTATGCATTCATCAGTCAATGGATATTTGAGGTTTTTCCATAATTTGGCTATTGTTGATAGTACTGCTATACACTGGGGTGCCTCTGCCCCTTTGAATCCACGTTTTTGTATCCTTTGGATAAATACCTAGTAGTGCAATTGCTAGATTGTGGGGTAGCTCTATTTTAATTTTTTGAGGGACCTCCACACTGTTTTCCAGAGTAGCTGTACCAGGTTGCATTTCCACCAACAGTGCAAAAGTGTTCCCCTTTCTCCACATCCTCACCCAGATCTGTTGTTCCCTGCATTGTTAATTTTAACCATTCTGAAAGGTGTGAGGTATCTCATTGTGGTTTTGATATATATTTAGGTGTGCAAATATCTTTTCAAATTAGTGTTTTCATTTTCTTTGGGTAAATACCCAGTAGTAGAATTACTGGATCATATGGTAATTCTATTTTTAGATTACGGTTTTCCACAGTGACTGTTCCAATTTGCATTCCCACAAACAGTACAGGAGGTTTCCTTATTCTCTATGTCTTCAACAATATTTGTTACTTCTTATGTTTTTTATTTTAGTCATTCTGACAGGTATGACATAATTTGCATTTCTCTGATGATTAGTGATGTTCAGCATATTTTCATATGTTTGTTGGCCATCTTATGTCTTCTTTGGAAAAATGCCCATTTTTAATTGAATTTTTTGTTTTTTGTTTTTGTTAAGTTGTATAATTTCATTACATATTTTGGAAGTTGACCCCTTTACTGGATATATAATGTCCTCTATACTCATTTTGGCAATGATTTTAATATTTCATCTCCTCTACCCACTATGTTGACTTCAGTTAAATAATATTTTTGCTAATGCCCAAATATTAAAAGGCCCCTATACTCACCTTCTTCTCCAATACACTTCTACCTACTTACCATTTGTTCACTACTCATCACGGGAGTGGGAATTGGAAACTGGAAAAGAAGAAAGCATATGTCACATTTTACTGCACAAACATAAAGCCTTTGGTTTTCCTCTTCTATGTCCTATAAATTATCTTTATAATGACCCTAGTATCCTATCCCCCCTACTAATGTCTTTATACACCCTACTCTGAAATAACTTCAGTTTAATAATACAGTTTTTCTACGGACTAACTATGCTAAATGCCTTAACACCCCACCTCTCTCTCTCGTATCTACCTCTACATATCTATCATGTGTTCTCCCACATGTCATTTATCCACACACAGGTAAATAGCATCCTTTCCTATATCCAATTTGATTGAGTATACACTAAAGTTTTCTTCATATCACTTAATGACAAACTAATCTCCATATTCCTTAGCAGAGAGATCTCTCAGTCAGGAAGAATGCATAGATAGGATTTAGAAGGTTACATCATCCTACAATCCACATACATCTCACTTTATCCACAAAAAAAAAAAAAGATAAGCCAAAACCACAGTTTACTTATGTCTTTAAGAGCTGAGAACGCACAGAAATCTAAAGAAAATATATTCTAGAGTGAGTTGATTCCTCTCTAGTTAGCAGAAATCAGAACTGCTGGGGACATTTTTTAAATTTGGCCATGGAAGAGCTCCAAATTGGCTTAATGGTGGTGAGGTGCTCTTGTGGGGTAACAGAAACCAGGGAATCTACTTGAGACAGCGTGACCAGAAGCAGTAAAGTGGGGTCTGTGGAAGTACCCAATGGAGAGGACGTTCTACCCATTTGCCAGTTTGTCCCCTAGGAATTTTTGTTGGAACTATACTGGAAAGCAGGCAGATATGACACGAGTTTTGAAGTGTTTGGAGCACAAAGTTCTTATAGAGAATGAGACTTGTGTGATGGACAGTACCTGAGATGTTTCCAATGATCCCCAACTCCTGGTTTTCTGGCTCTTGTCTATTTCCCTCCCACTGAGTGTGAAATAGACATACTGACTTGCTTCCAACAATGAGAATGTGGAAGAAATGTTGGGAAGTCACTTCTGGGAATAGAGTGAAAAAAAGAGTCTGGGAGTGCCTGGGTGGCTCAGTCAGCTAAGCATCCGATTTCGGCTCAGGTCATGATCTCACGGTTCATGGGTTTGAGCCCCACGTTGGGCTCTGTGCTGACAGCTAGCTCAGAGCCTGGAGTCTGCTTCGGATTCTGTGTCTCCCTCTCTCTCTGACCCTCCCCTGCTCACGCTGTCTCTCTATCTCTCTCTCTCAGAAATAAATAAAACATTAAAAAAAAGAAAAGAAAAAAGATTCTGGCTTTCTTCCTACCGCATCTCTCTCACTCTGATCATGTTGATGGAAGCCAATTGCCACATTTTGAGCTGCCCCATCAAGAGACCTGAGTGTCAAGGAACTGAGGGAATTCCCTAATAGCCTTCAAACACCTGAATCCTATCAACAGCCCCATGAGTGAGCTTGTATGTGAGCTTCTGCCAGTCAAGCCTTGAGATGATAACAGCCTTGGCCAACACGTTAATTGTAACATTATGAGAGGCCCTCTAAAGTATTTAAGTACAACATCAGTTACCAAATGAATATGTAAGAATCAATAGTGTTCTAATGTTATCAATGTAACTCAATTAGAGAAAAAAAAACAGAACTAAAGTCTCATTTAAATTAGTCAAAAAATAAAAATAACCCTGTGAATCTCCAATACATATAATGACACCCTGGGGTACCTGGGTGGCTCAGTTGGTTAAGCGACCCACTCTTGATCTCAGCTCAGGTCATGATCTCACAGTTTGTGAATTCAAGCACCACATTGGGCTCTGTGCTGATGGTAAGGAACCTGCTTGGGATTCAGTCTCTCCTTTCTGCTCCTCCCCTGCTTGTGCACATTCTCTCTCTCTCTCTCAAAATAAATAAATAAACTTAAAAAAAATAAAATACCAACCCAAGCGAGAGCTAAAAAATGAAAATAAGTTATGTTTAGAGACAACTATTGGCTGAGAAAATGGAAATAGTATCACATACTGTGTATAGAAGATGTAATTCTGCCTAGATTTCATGATACATATATAATGAATTTACAGATATAAAAATCTCATATTGAGTGATTCAATTGAAAATAAAGTCTGAATTTTATGTTAAGAGCCTACAACTTGGAAGTAAGAAGCAAGGAATAGAGCTGAACTTCTTCTGAGGAGAGGAAGGACCTAGAGACATTCATTTGTTTCCCTTTACTCTTCTATTAACATTAGCAAGTCCTTAGAGATTGGGACAACATGGACCAAGTAGCTAATTATAAGCTTTGTGTATTGAGCCTCCAAAGTCATACAATTGTAAATAATCAGCAGGTGCCTCCAGCTTTTTAGTTTAACAGTTCTAATACAGTGGCTCTGTACCTATGTCTCCTCCCTTTGTGGGCATCTGCCTG